AATTCAATTCAGAAATACTTTATTAATCCCAAAGGGAAATTAATTGTTGTCATAGCTCATCATCCCTGTTTCATTAGAGTTGTTCTAGATGCTGAGGGCTTTGGGCAGGAAGGATCTCTTGTAACAGTCCATCCAAAAGTGGATTCCAAGAAACTGGTTGCAGATGCCGATCCATCCACCCAGATCCAGCATACCTCTCAGCTCTCTTGCTCAGCAGGACTGCCTGAATGCTGGGCAGAACTCCTCCACAAGCAATGACCATTTCTCCCTGCAGCCCGTCGAGCCCCTCGTCACCACGTACTTAACTGCAGGTGCCGGGGGATGATCTCGGTCCTCCCGCTGTCATGAGCCACATTTCCCACTACCTCCAAGATCTCTGCGATCAGGCACTCAAGCACCGCCTCCAGGTAGATGGGAATGCATCAACGGCACCTCATTTTCAACTCATTTAGGATTTGTGGCTGTTGTTGAGATATTTTTGAGCTTTTGACATGTTAATCAGCTGCTCCCTGTTGTAGAAAACCACCTTGTTGTTATGGTTATGCATCATAACAAATGTCCAAATGTAAAAAAGATTTCAGTAAAAATCCTTCCAGTGGTACACATCTGATATCAGAGAAAGTAATCATCTGGAAAAAGCCATTTACATCCAGAAAAAAAAAAATCATTAAAGTTTTCAAAATCAAAATCTCATAATGAATCTAAGAGAGCTACTCCAACATGCAGCCACCTTGAGTGGCACAGTTTTAGAATATATATATATATATATATATATGTGTGTGTGTGTGTGTGTGTGTGTGTGTGTGTATACACACACATACATGTATATACCATCAGTCCATCATTGCATCCATTATATTTACCTGCTTCTTCCTTTCCACATCAAAATTTACCTCTTTGAGCTCCAGTAATGATTTGCTGTTACACACTACCATCTGCTGGTAGATTTTTTTTTTCCAACTTCATCAAGAAGATCAAATCACTGACATTCAGAAAACTGTTAGTTTCAACTATTCTCAAAATCTGTATTATCCAATCCATGTATCCTCAGCTTTTGAAAATATCTTTAAATATATATTATCTTAGAAACACTAGTATATTTCCCCCCACATTTCTTCTTTAGACTGTTATATTCTTTTGATCCTTAATTTAAAATTCAATAAAGGTTTGAATTTATTACTATTATTTTTAGATGAAATAGTATAGATTTCTGGCTAAGTAACATTTTGTTTGTTTCAACATTGTTACCCTGCCTAAAATAAGTTGTTGGACTCCATGTCTGTGTGTTTCAGAGATTTTTGGTGTGAGAGTAAACCTGTTGTCCTCGTTCTCGATGATCCTCTTGTATCGCTCCAGCTCGTTTTCCAGTGATGTCTGGTACATGGCCAGGTGGCGACATTCACTTGTGAACTTATCCAGAGACCTCTCTGCATCTTCAATCTCCTTACGAAGGGATTCAATTCTCTCGTTGTACGTCTGGATCTCGCTGTCATAGTTGTCCTGAGTGGCTTTTATAGCCTGCTCCAGCATTGCAGTCTGAAAAATAATAATAATAAAATACACAGATCAGGATTACAAAATTATTTGGGAAACAAAGATGTTTTAATAAATTTACCTTTGAGACTTGCTTTAAATGGCCTCATATGTTAGAGAATGTGAGTAAGATATTGACTCAAAATAAGTTGAGCAAAAGAAAACAAAACTGCTTTAAAATGTTGTTAGTTCTCCAGGTAATTAGTCACAGTTTTATTGTTTTTCATAAGAAACTGTCAAAAGTAAATCATTTTTCTCAGATAAATATATTTTTCTCAGCGTGTGAGGGTGGCATTTTTATTGGGGAAATGTCCACATGGATGGAAAATGCACAAAGCACAACACTGACTCAGTACGGGTCATTTGTGCACAAAAACAGTAATAAGCCAGGGAAGTAATCATGCAATATAAAACTACAATTATTATAGAATCCTGAAGACTGCAGTTCTGGCTCACAGTTCAGTCTTCCCTGAAAGATAATCTTTGCTGCCTCCTTCTGGTAAATCAGGTTGATAACGACCTAAAAGATTTACAATGCATGTGTGTTTTAAAAATCTATTTGAGAAATACATTTAATTGATCCTTTTGTAAGCGTTGTTAGCTTTGTTATTTACATATATATATATATATATATATATATATATATATATATATATATATATATATATATATATATATATAGTGGTCAGATATAATTGTTGTGAAAGTTGTTGTGGTATCTCACCTCATTCTTCAGGCGTTGTTTCTGAGCCTGCAGCTGACAGATGCTGCTCTTGTACTCCTCCAGCTGTTTCTGCAGACCCTCTACTTTCTTCTGGGCCAACAGTTTATCCTGCTCCTTCACACATTTAGCACAAATCATTTACAATCTGAAATTTGTTGAATGCTTTTTTTTATAGGATGGGGCTGAACCCACCCACCCACAAATAAATAAATAAATAAATATAAAAATACAAAAACTAGTCTCTGATTTATTTATTTTTAATTTAAAGGTCTTTCAGTGATTGTAGCTGGCATTAGAGACCTTTTCAGTTTATTTACTCCAGTAAAAAAAAAAAAAAAAAAAAAAACACATTCAAAAAGCATTCCAAACAATAGAGCGATTGCATTTTCTGTGAACATTTGGTGTGAATGCTTATTGCAGAAGAATTTTCTGAAAAACAGCTGAAATTATCTAAAAACATGCTGAAATGTAGCTGAAATGGAAGAACAAGTCTAAATAAGCAGAAGAAAGCAGAAAGAACATATATTTGCTGAATTAGGTTTGAATAAATATAAATGAGCACGACAATTAAGAAATTAGCTGAAAAAGCTGAAATTAGCCAAAAAGCTGAAAAGTAGCTGAAAAGGCAGAAAAAGCTTAAGCTACTAGAAGGAAGAGGAATTAGCTGAAATGAGCTTAAAATGTAGAATTAGCAGAAAAAGCTAAAATTAGCATAAACAGCTAAATAGTAGCTGAAATAGCCAAAAAATCTGAAACAAGAAGACATAAGCTGAAAGGAGCATAAATTAGCAGAAATAAGTTAATTAGGCTGAAAGAAGCAAAAATTACCATGAGAAACGAATTTATCTGAAAACAGCTGAAATTAGCTACAAAATGCTAAAAAATGTAGCTGAAAATGTAGAACAATTGTAAATTAGCAGAAGAAAGCAGAAATAATATGTTTGCTGAAAGAAGCAGAAATGAGGACAAAAAAGTGAAAATTATCTGGAAAAAGCTGAAATAAGCAATATATAAAATAAATAAATAATTGCTGTAAAGTAGCTAAAAAAAACTGCAGTTAGAAGCTTAAATAACCAGAAGTGGAGAGCACAAATTGAAATTAATGCAAAAAAATGTGGAATTAGCTGAAAAAGATAATAAGTAGCATAAACCTAAACACTATCTGGAATAGCATAAAAAGCTGAAACTTGCAGAAATAAGCTGAAAGGAGCACAACAAGCTAAAATGAGCAGAAAGAAGTTAAATGAAGCACAAGAAATGTTGTAGGTAGCACAAAAATCCTGAAAGGAGCACAAACACCTGAGAAACAGATGGAATTAGCTGAAAAAATGTTTAAATTTGCACAAGAAAGCTGAAAGAAGCTGAACCAGAACAAAAAGTGAAAGGAGCAATAAAAGGTTGTAAACAGATCTAATGATTAGAAGGATGTAAAATGAGCTCAATTCATTTTATATGAGAAAAAAAAAATAGGCAAATAAGACTAAATTTTTCAAAAAGCTAAAGTTGCACAATACCAAAAGTCATAGCAGTACTGTCCTGAAAGAGCTGAACATTTTGATATATGATTTGTTGAAATAACTTGAAAACTGCAGGACGAGAACAGCGCCAAAATGTATGGAAGAAAAATGGATCACAATAGCATGAATGCTTCATAAAAACATTCACATAAATATCAAATATGTTTGTTATCTGATCTAAAGAAGACAAGGGTGTGGAAATGAAATGAATCCAGGATCACATATAGATGACTTTAAGTAAAGCTAACAGGCTTAAACATCTCATTTTATATTTATTACTTTGTTTCATTACTTTGCATTTGACATGGTTTCACCTAATGAGTTTAAAAGCTGTGGATAAAAGAACATGAGTGAGTGTTTTGTTATGACGTCTTGTCATTTAATTTGATTAATTTGTGTTTTAGAGTCATAATAAAATGGCGAGGGATGGATATGAGATTTACTTGTTTGATTACTTGTATTCCGTTTTTCCTATTATTATTATCATAAAGAGCAATTATTTTTATATAAAACATAATTTTTGTAAACAGAAGCTGGACTGCATTCAGGAAGTATATTATCCTACTTCTAACTTGGTCTGTGATTTCAATTATTACTGTATTTTTCAGACTATAAGGAGCACCGGATTATAACAAAACAGTCAGAGAACTCAAAATTCATTCAACTCATTCACAATAACCACATCAAATCAGTTTGAGGTCAGTAGGCACAACCAGAATTAACACATAGGGTGCACCTGATTATAAAGCTCACTGTTCACTTTTGAGACAATTAAAGGATTTTAATTGTGTCTTATAGTCTAAAAAATACGGTACTTCTTTAACAACTTTATTTGATGTCAGCCTGGATCTTTATATCTAATATTAAATTATGATCATTTTGTAAGTTATGGTCTCATTTGGCGGCAAAGTGGTACAGTTAGAGATGCTGCCTCTCAGCGAGAAGGTCGCCGGTTCAAATCCCAGACGAGGGCCTTTATGGGTGGAGTTTGCATGTTCTCTTCGTGCATGCGTGGGTTTTCTCCAGGTACTCCGGTTTCCTCCCACAGACCAAAAACATGCATGTTAGGCTGATTGGTGACTCCAAATTGTCCCTAGGTGTGAGTGAGAGAGATATATGGGTGTTTGTCTTGTTTGTCTCTATGTGTCCCTGTGACTGGAGACCTGTCCAGAGTGTCCCCAACCTCTTGCACAGTGACTGCTGCACCAGTGACCTCTGTGACCCGAAAAGGAAGAAGCAGGTAAAGATGATGGATGGATGGTCTCATTTTGAATAAGGTACATGACTAACCAAGTCATGCTTCGAGGCAGACTGCCTTGTCATGGTAATCCAACATCTTTGACTTTTTAATCAGATAAAATAATTAAAATTGAACCCAAATTGATTCTGAATTATCTTGGAGTTTTGTGTCATTTACAATAAATTTCCAGATTTGAAGAAATCTCAAACTCTTTTTTTTTTACAAACTTTAGATTTGTGAAGGTTTTCACACTTTACCACGCAGTTGCCTTCGTATATCTTCCACTGCTCTGAGATCAGGAACGAGCTCGTTGAATCCTCCATTTCTCCATCTATTATCCCTTTTGTTTTTGTTGAAATCAACACAGTTTGCTGCAACAGCAAACTGAGATCTTTGTCGTTGCCCCGGGATACTTAACTCAGCCAATTAAAGCTCGTTTGATTTAGACGCAGCTCCGCCTCTGAGAAATGTTTCAACAAATAAATCTCCAATCTGCTCGTCAAACACGAGCCGCTGTGGCAGAGTAATGGAAAAATTAGCATGCACAATCGTCCCTCATAGCATTTGCTTCATTAGGTGCCCTGACACTTGCAAATTGCTCACCTGTACGCGTCTTGATGAATTGTTTATTGCCTGTTTCTACACAACATCCACGCACACATATATACAAAAACCCAGACGAATGCATGTGCAGAAAAGCAATTGGACAGAGAAGCTGGTAACCTCATCAAGAGCGGACACAAAGCAGGGATGACACACACGCAGACACCATCTTCTCCCTCAGGGATGGACACACACACACACAAACACACACACACAATGACAACGTTAGTACCCTTACCTCCGAGATGCCAGCTGACACATTGGGAACGAGGGGTAGTGTTTGGTTTATTTGCTGCAAAATGTTCACGTAGGTTTGGATTTCTGCAAGATTCTGGGGAAAGGGAACATTTTATAAAAAGAAAATATGAAATATGAATCTGCAAAAAAAAAAAAAAAAAGCATCTTGCATCCAAATGATTAAAACCAGTAGAACCATCACAATGCTTTGAAAGTCTGTTTAAACCTGCCTACATAACATTTATGTAAAAATATACATTTGCTTAAATTAAATATATGGTCAAATTATGCTTTAATCTACAGATTTTTTTAAATCCTTTTGCGCCAGCATGGTGGAAAGAGCAGCTATATTTTCTCTCTCATCTGTGATACCTCAAAGCTCGAGCTCATAAAGCCAACATTCACGTGAAATGACTCCTTATTCTTTTCCACATCACCGAGTAACAGCAGTACCCTTTGATACGGCGGCTAAACACTGCAGAGTCATGGGATTAATTCATCATCAAACGCCACTCCGGCTGAAACTATAAAGAGAGAATTACACGAGCGAGAGCATCTTTTGAAAGTAGCGTGTTACATTCTAGTCTTTATTAGCGTCAGCATTTCTGCCACTGTTGTTCTGGAACTTCCAGGCATTTCTGCCACACAAAGAAGCATTTGCGGGTCTTTTGTTTTATTTATTTTTTGTTTGTATGTCCCCCCCCCCACACGCCCATTTTCATTTGCTGTACAATTTTTACAGCTCCACCACGAAGAGTAAATCGTTGCTCGAGCTCCAGGAACATCTCAGCACATCCCCTGACGCTTCAAACCTTTTAGACTTGTCCGTTAAATAAATAAATAAATAATAAAATCCTGTGTTAAAAACAATAACTTCAGATTGAAATCATGTCTTTTAAAACAACACTAAAACCCTATGAATAAATCTCATTGATAAAGGGTTATTATGAATTTATTTGGTACCACTTTACAATAAGGCTCCCTTTACAGATGACTAATAAATAGTTTATAGCTATGTTATTGAAGCCTCTATAACCACTTTATAAATCATTACTAACTGCTTATTATGCATTAATTAAGGGTGACAGAGAGACAAAACTGACCATTTTCTTGTCAAATATGTTCACCTACTGTATATATTTCAAATAAAGTTGTTATATTAAACATTTCAGACTAAGTTACTACCTTGTAAACACAAAAAGCATTTGTAAACATGTATTTTTTAGGATATAATATTATTTGTAGATACTTATAATGCAGTGATAAAGTATAATATCATATGCTAAAATTAGGTTTGCAAATGCTTATTGTGCTTACAAGGTAGTGACTTAGTCTGAAACGTTTAATATGACAACTCTAGATGAAATTTATAGGTGAACAAATTTGACACACTATTTGGCAAGAAACTGGTCAGTTTTGTCTCTCTGTCACCCTTAATTAATGCATAATAAGCAGTTATTAATGATTTATAAAGTGCTTATAGATGAATTATTAACGTATCTATAACTTATTTGTTAGCCATCTATAAGGGGAGCCTTACTGTAAAGTGGTACCAATTTTTTAAAATGTATTGAGACACTGATTCTTTTAAAGGCCTCATATTACTTGAAGGACTGCATATTGCCCATTGCCTTTGACACTGAGAGAGTTCGATTACAATCTTCATACGCTAAGAAATGAGTTGTAAAGTTTTGCACAACCTCGTGCAATTTTATGAAACCCCCACGAGATGAGTTAGTGAACAGAGAATGTGTTGTGGATGTCCCTCATCTAGTAGCACACTAAACCTAACTTGAAATCTGTAAATTTGACTGAGTTATAGCACTTTTTGTGGGGGTTAAGCCTGATTCGCTCTGGCAGTCATTTTAAATTTATCTGAACGCTAATGATTACTTTATAAGAGTTTTGTTTTCTAAAACATGTCAAGTAATTCATGAGATATCTTATTAAAAGATTATCATTTAATGGGAAAGTAGAAAAGATTTGCAGAGATGTGGAGAGCTCAGAGTATTTGTTGAGTATGACTCCCAGCTACTACCACTCCAAGTTATAGTTTTAAACTGACTGAGTGATAGCCACTTAGCTTAGCTGTGGCAGCCATCTTGAATTGGACTGATTCCAAAAGTTATTCAGTTACAAATGTACCTCTCATGATTATTTTCCATGGTTTTTTAATTAAATTTTAACTATTGGTTCATGACTTATTTTGCTAAATCTACATTCAAATGCACACTGTCAGGCAAAATCATTAGTCTGGGGTCAAAGTCAACGCTGGACTAAAGTTAGAAAACCACATCAGAGCAGTTCATACATCCAGTTGTTTTTTTGTCCATTTGAGACAGCTGGCTAAAGTAAAGCAAATTGTTTCTCAACACCCTTTTGAAACAGTAGTTCACACCTTTGTGACCACTCGACTGGATTACTGTAACACACTCCATACAGGAATCAGTGACTCATGTACCTCTTATCTTCAGAGTGTACAGGATGCAGCTGCACGGCTTTTAACTGCCGCATGAAAGTTTGACCACATTTCCCCTGTTTTAGCCTCCCTGCACTGGCTGCCCGTACATTTTAGGATTCATTTTTAAATTGTTTAATTTGCTTTTAAAGCTCTTATTTGCCCCTCCCTATCTGTCTGAGCTGCTACATCCATACATACCCTCTTGATCCCTCAAGTCATGTGATCAGCTGCTCCTGACTGTGCCGAAGACAAAGCGTAAGCTCATCGGAGGCCGTGCTTTTATTGCGGCAGCTCCTAAATTATGGAACGACCTTACCTTGAACATCAGACAGACCTCTTCCTTGTCTGTTTTAAATCCCTTCTTAAAACCTATATCTTCTCCCTGACCTTTGACACCATCTGAAATGTTGACGTTTAAACATTTTAATTGTTCTTTATTATCTGATTGTATTGTTTGATACAGCACTTTGGTTCTGTGGGTGTAATAAAGCTTAGCTGGCTCTAATAAAGTATTGTCTTTGGCTGTGGGCAATAAAACTCTAGACTATTTAGCTTCATTTTTCTGTCATCATCATAAATGTGTGCATTGTGTATTTATACTAGTTGACAAAATGCACAGATTAGACAAAGCACTGAGTTAATTCATTTAAAAGCTAATGTGCAGTTCACCAATGCAAATTATAATTGCATACTTCTCAATGTTTTTTAGTTTCTACCATGAAAAGGCACAAACAAGCTGTTGTACCTGTCAAACCCAGAAGTTTGACTACGGTTTTACAATTTTTCTGCTAGGATTTGATCCAAAACAAAACAATTATAAAACTCAGATTACAGCTTTTTGTCTTTTTAAGTCACTTCTGTTGTTTGGGATTGGATTTTGTTGATTACTGGTTTAGTTCCAAACAACGTCTTTGTCCTCCTGGTTCTGAACATGGTGGTGGTCCAGACGATTACTCAGACGAGAACTGAATGTTACATTTTTTTTATAATTGGTTTCACGAAAATCAAGTTCCCCAAGAAACGAAACATTTGATTTTGATTTTCCTAAATTATAATGTTGAATTGGTTTCAGGTCTCTCTTGTAAAGGAGTCCCCGAGGCTCAATGGGATTAACCTGTATAAATAAAGACTGAATGAAAAAAATTACTATATTGTTTTCAGAAGTTGCTTAACAATCTCTTGCACATCATTGCTCAGTTCAAACATGATAATATTTTGGATTGCGTGACGTCTTTTCTGTAACTGTAAACCCAGTTAGACAAAATAAAATATTCTGCAAATATACATTCATTACTCATAAATTTAGACATTTTAAATTATTTTTTATTATCTTTTCAACACGTTTTCTGACCTTCTTCTGCCTTTCTCTGGTAGAATTGATGTCGTCCTGCAAAAACTGAGACTCGATCTGGTACTCCAAGTTTTTCAGCAGGGCGCTGTCTGCCTCCTTTAGGGAAAAGAAAAGGAGAAAAAGTCTGTACATATAAAATAATGCAATACATTTAACATATTAGCCATTTTAGGATTTTTTGTGTGTTTATAGTTAAAATATAATGATATAGTGTTTTCTCTTTGATCTAAACTATGCAAGAAATTCAAATAATCTTGTAATTTTTTATTTGTTTTCATATTTTTCATTAATTTATAAATCATTAGTTATGACATAATGTACCTTGTTTAAATTTTCCAGTGTGCCCCGCAGCTGCTCTTGACAATCACATTCATTTTTATATCTGGAAAATGAAACGTTTTGATGGTTAAATTCTTTTTTTATTATTTATTATTTGACATCAAATTGAGTAACAGATCCACAAACAACTCAATAAACTGATAATCTGTCGTGTTTTTTTTTTGTTTGTCTCCTTATATTTTGTTGAAAATACAGCATATTTACAAAGTATCCAGAATCATGATTACTGCGTTTCTGAAAATACATGCAACATGCAAACGTTTTCATTAGTGTAAATGTCTTACTGACATCTACAATCACAAATTATAAATAAACAGTTGCATAAACAGTTGAATTTAAATATTTTCCGAGGGCTTCAGAATGAGTGACATTGCAGATGACTCATCCCAAATGACAGAATCTTCTTACCGTCAATAGCTCTAGTTTATTTTAATACAAATTCTTAAGATTGTTTTAATTATAGTCTATTTTCGAAGAACACTGACTTTTTCCAACTAAAATTGTCATTAAAATTTTATGTGGCACTAAACCTATATTACAGTTTAATAAATAACTTTCTTTAATGCACAATAGGACAAAACTTTGACCTTTAACTCAAACTTAAAACCAACCACTTTTACTTACTTGCTAGTGAATTCTTCCAACATGCGACAAGCCTCCTTCAGCTCCCGCTCCAGTTTGGAGCGATCAGAACTCAGTTGTCTGATGCGCTGCCTGTTGATTCCAATCTGTTCTGTGAAGGCCTCCTCCAGCCCACTGGCTTCTTCCATCTTCTGCAGGGTCTCCAGTTGCTTACAAAACACGGCGTTGCGCTGCTCCAGGACCCGTGCCCTGTTGATGTACCGGGCAAAGCGGTTGTTGAGCTCTTGAAGGCTCTCCCAACCCTGGATGGCCGTGATGCCTGCAGAGGTTTCAGAGGCCTCGGGTTCCTGATCATAGACATATTTCTCCTTGCGCACTTCGCGCGTGTAGCTGGTCTTAAACATGGTGGCACACTTCCTCTGGGTTGATGGTATCCCTAAAGTGCTCGGTCCCCTTCGGCACCTTTAGTGTGAGAAAACGTGGGTGCTCACCCCTGGCTGTATCATGCTAGACTAAATGTTGCACAGCATTGCTTGGGACCAAAATACAGCAGCACCCCCCACCCCCACCCCACCTCCCTCGGCCTCATACTGGAGGTCATTGCCCATGATGCGAGCCTGGGGCCTTCCAGAGATTGTTGTTGCCTTTGTGGCAGATATGTGAAAGGCAGCACGGCTGATGACAAAGCAAAAGCACATAACCAAACAATTGTCTGTCCAGCAAAAGAACTAGGTTGTCACCCAGCATTATTTTGGTTCTTAGTCAGCTGCTTTCTATACCCATGGTTGATTCAACATATTGGATGCTGGCCCAGTGTTCACAATAAAACATAGTACACATTTTAAATGCTTGAACTGAGAAATTGTACCATTTTAAAAGCAAAATAAGGTTTTTTGTTTGTTTGTTTGCTTTTTAAGGCAGCAACACATCGAAAAATGGGACAGAGTAGGCCCCTGTACATAGGAGGATCTGCAGTGGAAGTGGTCTCCATTTACAAGTACTTGGGTGTCTGCCTGAATGACAACCTCAGCTGGGACAACAACACTACCAGCCTGATCAAGAAAGCTCATCAGAGACTACTTCCTCAGGCGGCTGAGGCGAGCTGGACTGGGAAGCTCAGTCCTCACCTCCTTCTACAGGTGTGCAGTGGAGAGCATCCTGTGCTCCAGCATCAGTGTGTGGCATGGAGGCTGCACAGCTGCAGAAAGAAAAGCTTTGCAGAGAGCGGTGAAGGCTGCACAGAAGTCTGTTAGAGTCAGCCTCCCCACCATCACAGACATCTACACTTCCAGATGCAAGAAGAGGGCCACCTGCATCATGAAGGACCCCACTCATCCATCACACACACTTTTTGCCCCGCTTCTCTCAGGCAGGAGACTGCAGAGCATTAAGGCTCCCACAGACTCGGGCGTACTTCAATCTGCAGAAGTCCGCGTGTACCAGATTAGACTCAAAGTGGATGTCCGCGCAAAAATAAATTTTTACGACCATGTACGCGTGCTCACTGTTGCACAATAAACTGTCCATCATAAAACTAACTTTACCGCGGTTTAATGTGGTGCTATGGCTCTGCAGACATTGCACGTTGCTGCATTGCTTTGTGGTGTTTTTAGTGTAAAATACTTCCACACAGCGGACATGTTTCGATGAAAAGTTTGTTAGCAGTTAGCCACAGTGCTGCTAACTCAGCCCTCACATTGTAGCTGGCTGCAAACTATGAACTGGATTTCCTGAATGTGAGGCGGGTCTTATTACTCTGGGTTCATGAGACATGCCTCCGTCCAGGAAATCCATTCCATAGTTTGAAGCCAACATCCATCATGGATCGGAAATATCGGCAGGAGGATCAGAAAATCTGATACGTAAATTATGCTGGTATCGGAGGCCGATACCGATACTGGATCGGATCGGCCCCATCCCTAGTTTCTAATTAAGAGGGGTGGAGTCAACATTTACATTTTCTATATGAAAATAAACACACACTTAACTAAATTAAATCTCTAGAAAAGACAAACAAAACAAAACAAAAAAAAACTTTATTAATCCCAGAGATAAATTCTATAACATTTACATATTCACATTCAATTTTAATTTAAATCTAAACAACAATCTAAACCCAATCAGAATCCAAAACATCTCTCCTCCCTCTCAAGCAGTGTGGATTTTCCCAGTGAGGCTGATTGAAAACACCATTTCCTTGTCAGTTCTGCTCATGGGCGCGCTTCCATGGCAACACATGACCCGATGACCTCAAAGAGAAGGAGAGAGTGCTCAGAAAAAAAAATATATCGTAAAGTTAAATTAATAAATTGATCACCAGGTTTTAACCTTTTCCTAAATACAAAGAAAAATACATTCATGCATTAAGTTCATTTAGAGCATAGAAAGCATATATAAATACAGCATCTGTTAGTGAGGAGGTAAATCCTTCACATTATTGTTTAGCATATGTCTTAGATCCTTGTATACTATTTATTTTTTTATACTTTATATATTTGCTATTTTCGGATGTAACTGGGACCTTGGGTACACAATTTTGTTCAACCCCATGTACCACATGTGTTGCGAACGACAATGAAATCACCTTGAACCTTGTTGACCTCTGTGAAGGATCTTAACATATTTCAACAACTGTCCTTAAAATTTTATGAACTTAGGAGCACAGTTGCTGGAGCTTTTGGAAGAAAATGTAATTGAACAACAGTCTTGGCTCATTTTTGCCCATATTTTACATCATTAAGTGGGACTTTTTTTTTTTTTAATTGCTAAGAGGTCTGGACTACAAGCAGGGCAGTTCAGTAGCCAGATAATTTTATACATAAGTCCATCAATCCATCCATTATCTTTTGCTTATTGCGAAGTCGGGTCGCAGGGTTAGGGGCAGCTTGAGCAGGGAAGCCCAGACTTCACTTTCTACAGCCACCTCTTCCAGCTCTTCTGGGAGGATTCCAACAAGGTGTTCTTAGGCCAACTGAGAGATCTGTGAGAACGCTTCAGTCTCTCCATCGTGTTCTGGGTCTTTCCCGGGGTCTCCTCCCAGTCGGACATGACCGAAGCACCTCCCTAGGGAGGCACCCAGGTTGCATCCTTACCAGATGCCTGAACCACCTCAACTGGCTCCTCTCAGTGTGAAGGAGCAGTGATTCTACTCTGAGTCTCTCCCAGATAACTGAACTTCTCATCCTATCTTTAAGGTAAAGTCTAGCTACCCTGCAGAGGAAACTCATTTCAACCTCCTGTATCCGCAATCTCATTCTTTGGGTCAATAACCAGAGCTCGTGACCAGGGTAGGAACGTAGACCTACCAGTAAACAGAGAGCTTTGCCTTATAGCTCAGCTCCCTCTTCTCCACAACGGACCGGTACAGAGTTTGCAATACTGCAGATGCTGCAACAATCCGTCTGTCAAGCTCACGCTCCATTTTTCTCTCACTCATGAACAAAATGCCAAGATACTTGAACTCCTCCACTTGAGACAGACCCTCACCCTCGACCTGAAGAGAGCAATCCACCCTTTTCCAGTTGAGGACCATAGTCTCAGATTTGGAGGTTCTGATTCTCATCCCAGCCACTTCACACTGGACTGTGAACCACTCCAGTGAGAGCTGAAGATCACGGCACGATGATGCCAACAAGACCACATCATCTGCAAAGAGCAGAGACGGAATCTTGAGTCTGCCGAACCAGAATTCCTCCACCCCCTGGCTGCACTGAGAAATTCTGTCCATAAAAGTTATAAACAGAATCTGTTACAATGGACACCCCTGGTGGAGTTCAACTCCCACCCTGAAGGGGTCCGACTTACTATAGGGAATGTGAACCAAACTCTTGCACTGCTTATATGAGGACCAAACAGCCTGTAGCAATGAACCCCCAATCCCATACTCACGGAGCACCCCTCACAGTGTACCCCAAGGAACACGGTAGAATACCTTCTCCAAGTCCACAAAACACATGTAGACTGGATGGGCAAAGTCCCATGACATATCAAGGACCCTATAGTGAGGGTAAAGAGCTTATCCAATGTTCCACAGCCAGGACAGAATCCACAGTGTTCTTCCTGGAGCTGAGGTTCGACCAATGATCGGACTCGCTTCTCCAGTACCAATGATACCTTACCAAGTATAGAGATATACCTGCGTCCCTGAATGTCATTTTGTAACAGACCTTTTATTTCTGTGACTGAGCAGTTCATTCTGTAAAGATGTTTCTGAAAAATAAAAATAAAAAAAGAAACTCTTCATCCCTTGAACAACTGAGACATCCCACCCCCACTTCAGAACCTGGGACAGTTTAAAGTTTGTTTTCATCATCTCTAACTCTGGAAAGTGTCAAAAGAAGACTTTTATGGTTGGTAAGACAACCCAAGGATCCATAAATCTGAATAATATTGGAACACCCTTTCTGTGAACCCCACAAAATGGACGTTTGAATTAACACAGATCACCCAGGATGTCCTGGTATCAACTTGTACCAGCCGCCATCAGTCTATCCCATCAACGATCATAAATAACAGAAAGCTTCGTCTCTGTTCAAAGGAATTCCAACTTGGACACTTGAATCCCATTTCTTGCATGTAGAAAATGGACAGACTTTTTATTCACATTCTAGAAGAATTAATACTGTTTTTGTAATGAAATAAGTGTTTACTAGGAATAACTAAATAGCTACCTTGTTGTTTCCCTTACAGCTGACACTAACCTGTGTAGGCCAAAAGTTTACAAACTTGTTTTCTGTTTATAAGGTTGACAAAGTGTTTGTATTGTTTAACCTCATTTAAAGTTGATAAGTGTCTTAAATTATTTTATTTGATGACTTTTTCAACAGAGCAGATTAAAATAACACTTTATTTAGTGGATAAAAGTTCAGCCCTTTCATTTTGATTGGTTCAAATCGACCACCTCTTTCAAATCAGAGGTGTGGTCATTTGTTTACAAGAGAAGAAGACCTCTCAGAATATTAGATGATCAGAACAAGATGATGAGAGAAGAGAGATGAGAGAAAAGAGAGAGAGGGAGAGAAAAGAAAAATGATGATGAAGAAGTGATGAAGACCTCCCGAGGAGGAGATTTAAGCTCTAAGACACAACCTTCAGAAGACTTCTAAGGAGAAAATTAGCTTCGACTTTGGTCAAAGTTTGATAGAATCCTTTTCAGCAATCAAAACACCTGCAGTTTTCATCAAAGAGTTAACAACAGCTGTCCAGAACTCCAGGAAACGCTCCAGGCTGACCGTTCGAGCCAGTGAATAACTCTTCGTGTTGAGGTCAGGGATGTGAAGGAATTACAACCTTTACATCACCCGACCATCGAATCATAGAGAGTCAAATATCTGTTATCTTCTGGCAGCCTTTGAAGACGACTCATGGTAGGAGTAGCTGATCTGATACTCTGACGGTTTAATCTGGTGTTCAAGAATTTAGATTATTAACCAAGTTAGTATTAACTCAGTTCAGTAATTATTTTTCTTTAAATTTCAGACCAAATTTTAACTATTGAACGACAAAACGTATTTCTTTAGTAAAATTTCAGGAGTAATCCACCCTGCTGAAATAACAAAA